GGAAAGAGTTTGTAAGCCGCTCTGAGACTCCAAGTGAAGGGCGGGGTATAAATCCAATCTCTTCTCTTCTCTTCTTCTTCTTCTTGCTCTGACTGAGGGCTGCTGGAAGCAGGGGGCGGGGCTTGTTGCATGTGCCCGCCCCCTGGGCTCTTTACTGCCGGAGCTCCGCTCTTGTGCGCTCCTGCAGGAAATTACCCCTGACAGTCAGTGTTGTCTACTCAGACGGGCAGCGGGTCCAGGGTCTTGGGCAGAGTCCTTTCCCATCTGCTTGGCACCAGAAGGGCAGAAGGTCTCAGATTTCCACCCTCTGCATTTCCAGTTAAAGGGTCTCAGGTGCTGGGAAAGACTTTCATCTGCATTGCCCAGGACTAGATTTGGTCTGATCCTGCAAGGCTTTCTTTTTTGGGTTCTGCCATCGTCAAGCTGACCCCTGGTGGGGCTTGAAGGCAAGGGACGTTCAGAGGTGGCTGGCCGTCGCCTGCCTCTGCGTCATGGTATTCCTTGGAGGTCTCCCTTCCAAATACTAGCTGGGGGCGGCCCTGCTTAGCTTCTGAGATCTGCTGCGAGCCTCTTCTCATGCTCTCAGGGGGGAGGTTTGAGTTTGGACAGAAACGTCTTTGGACAGCGCAGGCTCTTTGGCTTGGAAACGGAGATGAGCACCGCCCCCTAGAGTCGGACTCGAGTGGCTTTCGAGAAAGGGAAACCTTTTACCTTTACCTTAAAAGACTGTTGCATTTTTGGTACATAGAAACTGAGATATTAATTGCACTACATACATTTAGTTGTTTACATAAATTGCAATTTTCGTTGTACTTCATGGTGTGTCTACCTTGTTTGATCACCTAGAGGCCGGTAACCCTACCTGGATACCAGGCTGAGACTGTAGGAGGCCTGGAGGATTTCCAAGGCTTCGTCCACTCAATTCGAGTGGCATTTACCCTCCAAAGCCTTCCGTGCCCGTTACACAAAAGGAACAGGTTTGACGAGACATCTGGCCGAACTCGATCGACAGGCCCCAGAGTATGTGGCGGCTAGTTTATAAAAGCAAACGAGCGATTTAGCAATCTGAGCCGCTCACAAATTTAGCTGGGATGTTGGGGGGGGGGGGGTTTAAAACCATTTTGCAACTATGCATTCTTTGGGCTTAAAATGTGAAGTGAAACCAGATTACTGGAACTCCAGTCTGAGTCATCTGGCCTCCACTCTCTGAGACCTTTCAAATAATTAAAAGGGGAAATCCATCAATTTTTATGGAGACTCCAAATTTAGGACCGTCTTCCTGCCGGAAAGTAAACACGCATACAGATATGTAAGCAACTGAGGCCCGGTAGCAGCCAAGTCTCCGACTTTGTGATAACGCAGAAAAAAGATGACTTGTAAACAGAAGGAAACGATCTCTGCGCCTGCTGATATTCCTACTTCTCTGAACGTCAATCTTCACTCCAAGGAATCTTGGGATCTCAGGCACACATGAATGTGCATGATACTTAGAAGCTAAAAAGGTTAGTCAAGGTTAGGCTTTTAACCTAAGGAACATTTTATTGGGAACATTTGGCTGTACAATCTCAGAAGAATATACAGTTGACTACTGGACATGTGATTGCACTGGAGGCTTCATTTGTATTTTTGTATTTCTTTTCTTTGCCCAGTGGTTAAACTTTGGAACAATTGGTTTCTGGTCTTTATTCCATATCTGTATGATTGTATGTATTTTTGCATATCAGCCAACATGTTCGGTCTGTATTAGACCTCTGAGGAAGGCCTGTAAAGGTCGAAACGCGTTAGGTCTAACTTATTAGCCCTTGTATCTATATATCTAATTCTGAAGATGCCCCCTGTGTGCGGATACCTAAATTTGCGCATCAGGGGCACCTGGGGGGGGAGGGAGATTTTTGTGCACACTTGGGACGGTCCCCAGGTGTGCACAAAAATCTTAAAACCTGAAAAAAATATCGGGGGGATACTTAAATCCCCCCAAATGTGACAGAGCGTCCCCTGCGCATGCACAGGGAATGCTCTGCAGCCGGCCTCGCCACCACCACTTCGGCGGGGGGGGGGAGAGACCAGCAAGGCCCGGAGGGGAACCGGTGGGATGGGGGGGAACTTACCTCCTCCTCCTGCTTCCTCCTGGAGCTCCCTCCCCCCTCCCACGAGTATCGCGGGTCCCGCCCCTTGTGTTTTTATATTTGTATATGAGGTAGGAATGGGCCCTTGTTCGTTATTTTAATTTACGTTGAATAAATACATGTATATTTTTGCATGTTTCATCATTAGATTTTTAGAGTTGGCCCTCTTCTATTCTTGACTAACCTTTTTAGGTTCTGAATTCTAGGTTTAGGTTCAGTCTCTTCCCCTTTTTTCTTCTTTGTGCATAATACTCAACCTATACTGAATCAGAGCATCGGTGCTCCCATTATAAGGACAGATCCAGGTGGGGCAGCCATGTTGGTTTGAAGCAACAGAACTAAGTTAGAGTCCAGGGGCACCATCAAAACCAACAAAGATTTATTCAAGGTACAAGCTTCCGTCTGCACGCACACTTCCTCAGATACTGACTGACACAGGGGTCGCCATTCAGACTCATATTTGATAAAAGGAGCTCTGAGACTTGAAAGTTTGGTGTAGTGGTTAGGAGCGTGGACTCTAATCTGGTGTGGTAGTTAGGAGCTAGTTTGGTGTAGGCATAGCGTAGTGGTTAGAAGCGCGGACTCTAATTTGGGAGAACCGGGTCTGATTCCCCATTCCTCCACATGCAGCTGCTGGTGTGACCTTGGGTCAGTCACAAGTTCTCCCAAAGCTGTTCATTCACGAGCAGTTCTGGAAAGAGGTCTCTCAGCCCCACCTACCTCACAGGGTGTCTGTCGTGGGGAGGGGGAGGGAAAGGAGTTTGTAAGCCACTCCGAGACTCCTTCAGATAGTGAAGGGCGGGTTATAAAATCCAAACCCTTCTTCTTCTTTATATCCCCAAAATCTTGTTGGTGTCTAAGGTGCTACTGAACTTGAATCTAGTTGTTCTACTGCAGACAAGCACAGCTGCCCTCTGGAACTGTCAGTCCGTCAAAGTCAGTATTGTCTGCTCAGACTGGCAGCCCCTCTCCAGGGTCTCAGGCACAGAATGGTCTTTCCCATCACTTCCCGCCTGGTCCTTTTTAACTGGAGATGTCGGGGATTGAACCTGGGACCTTCTGCATGCCAAGCAGATTTTCTACCACTGAGCCACGGTCCCTCTTTACAGCTCTCCAGGGTCTCAGGCGGAGGTCTTTCCCATCACCTCCTGCCTTGTCCTTTTAACTGCAGATGCCGGGGATTGAACCTGGGACCTTCTGCATGCCAAGCAGAGGCTCTTCCACTGAGCCACCTCCTGTCTGGTCCTTCTTAACTGGAGATGCCGGGGATTGAACCTGGGGCCTTCTGCATGCCAAGCAGAGGCTCTTCCACTGAGCCACAGCCCCTCTTTACAGCTCTCCAGGGTCTCAGGTTGGGGTCTCTCACATCACCTCCTGCCTGGTCCTTTTTAACTGGAGATGCCGGGGATTGAACCTGGGACCTTCTGCATGCCAAGCAGAGGCTCTTCCACTGAGCCACAGCTCCTCCTCACCCTTGGTCTACTAAGGTCAGGATTGGCTAATCGGACCGGCAGCAGCTCTCCAGGGTCTCAGGCAAAGGCATTTCACATCACCCACCTGCCTGGTCCTTTTTAACTGGAGATGCCAGGGATTGAACCTGGGACCTTCTGCATGCCAAGCAGAAGCTCTGCCACTGAGCCACAGCCCCTCTTTACAGCTCTCCAGGGTCTCAGGTGGAGGTCTTTCCCATCACCTCCTGCCTGGTCCTTCTAACTAGAGATGCCAGAGATTGAACCTGGGAACTTCTGCATGCCAAGCGGATGCTCTGCCACTGAGCCACGGCCCCTCTTTACAGCTCTCCAGGGTCTCAGGCAGAGGTCTTTCCCTTCACCTACTGCCTGGTCCTTTTTAACTGGAGATGCTGGGGATTGAACCTGGGACCTTCTGCATGCCAGGCAGATGCTCTACCGCTGAACCAAAGCCCCCCCCCCCCCCCCAGCTCCCC